AGCTATTATTAAACTGAACAAAGTCATTAATGTCTTTAAACTTTGCACTGGGATATAAAGTACAAGAATAGATGTTTAACAGCATCTAGAAGAGAATAGTCCTGATGTTTGTTTGTGCTTCTCTTTTCTTATGATGCATRCCCTTCTTTTTATTTTAAATCAAAAGTACTATAAGGGAAATAAATAAGCAAGCCACTGAATTCAAATACTAACTCTCCCAGTGACTCTGGCTTCTGTTTAGGTGTTTGACAGAGTACAACCTCCTTTGGTGTTTGGTTTCTCATCTATGCAATATCTAGGTTACTAGAGGTAATCTCTATTTCATTCAGCTATAAAAGTCAGTAAGTCAACAAGAAACATACATTTGGGTTACAACTAGGGATGAAATTATCAAATATTATTGTCTTTAATTTTCTAAAAATTTTATGAACAAATATAAATTTTGTTACATATATTGTATTTGCTACATATTTCAGACTACACTGTATGTACTTATCAAATTGGGTAATTAACATTTTCATCTTCTCATCATTACTTTGTGTTCAGAAATCCAAGCTCCCCCCTTCTCATTATTTATAAAATTTGTAATTTTTTAAAGACACTGTGGTGGAACCCATGGCTTCCTACATGCTAGGCAAGTGCTTTAACATGGATCTATACCCCTCAAGCCCTTCAAGTATTTTAAACAAATAAAATCTATGAATGGTAAAGACTTCAAAAATCTCACCATCATCAATCAAGTTTATTTTTTTATATTTTAAGCATGCATATTGTTAAATTGATATTTCTTCACTAGACCATTAAACCSCATGAGTTTGGGTTGCCTAAAGCATTACTAAAATTAAGTCAGTTTTAAAACATCCTTTAATTTCTCCAGAAATCATCTGAAGTATAGCTGTAAACTTATTTGAAGGTTATGTGGTAATATATACCTAGCATTTTAGTAACTGTTTTTTATTTAAAGGTTATTGTAACTTGCTTTGCTTGRAATAGTTAATGTTTATTTTAGTATTTACATTTTCTACTCTAATAGGGAAACTAACTATATGTCAGTGGTTCATTCATTTTATAGTCATCAATATTACATTMCATATATTCAGGCTTAACCAGCTAATTCCCTTCCCTTCCTTTCCTTTTCACTTATAGAAACTATCATATTTTTCAGAATTTAGCTACTGCTTCAGGAAGATTTTAAAAAAGGAAGAAAGAAAACTGAACACTAGATCTTCTCATTATGTACCACTGTTACAGTCACACAATAATCAAAGAAAGATAATAAAATATTTTCATGAGAAAACCATAAATTATCAAACTATGAATCTGATGTGCCTGTAACCTAGAAGGTCAATTTTCATTGTAGAAGGAAGATATTCCAGTGGACCATACTGTTTAGCAATTTCAACCTAGATTTCAGTAGTCAAAACCCATGGAGTGAAAATCGGCTTTCTCGGGTGTGCCTCTGCACTAATGCATGCATCTGACCCATCACTTAATAGGTCAGGCTTATTATTTAAAAGTGTCTTGTAGACACAGAGATAACTCAATGGAGTCTAACCAATGGCGTTAGAGCACAAGAGGGGTATTATGAGATCAGGGTAACAGCAAAGATTAATAAAGCAGGCATAAAAAATGGTAGTAACTGAGACTCAGTGTCAACTTACACAATTCTGTAACAAAAAAAGATAAACCCACTGACAAAAACTTTAAAAAAAAAACTTCTCTTAAAAAACTACTTTGTAAACAGAAGATTAGAATATGTCTTGTTAAGTTACTCTAGAACGACATTATTTAAAAGCTTATCAAAATTGAAAAGTAAAAGGATAACTATTCTTTAGGATAGGAAGTTCAGGGTATTGAATAAAAGTTTGAGAAATTAAGAATTTAGAGGAATGAAAAATGTCATAAATATGGAACAAAAGTGAACTTCATGAAGGACAGTTTTAAGTATGTGATACACAAGGTGGAAGCAATGATTGTCCTCAGAGTAGAATGTAGAATGAATGAATCAATTTTAAAACAATAAAGTAAAAGAATTGTTTTCAAAATTTTCCAGACTTAAATAAATAAATAAAATAAATATACAATTTTCACATATTTTGATTAAACTCTTTAAATTTCAAAGATGAAACAACTGAAGGGATATAATTTTTTTAAGAGAGAGAGAGAGAGAGAGAGAGAGAGAGAATTTTAACATTTATTTTTTAGTTTTCCCCAGACACAACATCTCTGTTTGCACGCATGCCAGGCAAGCGCRCTACCGCTTGAGCCACATCCCCAGCCCAGGGATGTAAATTTTAAGTTCTCTATTTGGCAATCATTAGGATAAATATTTCCTATATTTTTTTTATTAAAGAAATAAAAGTCATGTCAGTTTCCATGAAAAAGTCAATCAAATGAATTCAAAATATATAACATTTATGAAAATAGACCCTGCTTTATTTTCTGCAACAATGGAGATTAAAACAAAATATTCACAGCTACTGTATAAACTTCAAAGATCTAAGAAATGTGCACTTCACCACATTGTAATTAATACTCAAAGCCAGTAACACAGAAATGCTAGGGAATTTTAGGGGATGGTGTATCCCAATCTTTTTTTCTTTTAAAATGTGATTTATCATAAGATTTACGCTGGAAGAAAACTGGTCTTCCTAAAAAATTRTTGGTAAGAAACCAGTCCTATAGAATATTACACATATCATTGAGGGCTTAAGTATTTTAATATAATAGTTTTCATCAAAATAAGTACCAGAATAAAAACCTGAGCATTTGAAGTTTTATTTGGATAGTTATTTTTCCAGTAGAAGGTAACCAAACCTTAGCAAGTTGAATAATTAATAAATCAGCATTAAGAATAGGAATATCACATGTAATTATGATCTGTACAAATTTTGAAGCAAAATTAGGATGCAAAGATAGTAACAAAATGTTTTCCCAGATTTTTAAGAATGAGATCTTTCTTTTTGATTCCATTTGTAGAATGCAAAATAGGACTCCAAATGCAAAGTGCATTTTCATTTTTTAAGTAAAGGAAAACTGATTATCTTATTATGACTTTAAATAAACAAAGCTGAATAACCTTTAACACATCTAAACATCTAGTGATTTAACTTGTAAAACACTCCTTCCCAGAATGTCTGAGTATTTTCTGGAATAAAGTAAGGACAGTGTTTGCTTTGCACCCTGATGACTCTGCACAGTGCAGTATGAAAGTCCCTGTAGAAGCTGCACCTCCCAGGCAGTGCCATTCACAGTCTTTCAGGGGCCTTCAGACACATTGAATCAACAGTGAAATTTTTGGAGACAGATGACTCTAATTTAAATGCAATTTGAATAACCTTGTAGTGTAATGAATGTCTATGCTTGTCCCTGGGAGATGTGCCAGGAAGAGAAGCAGTCTGAATTCCACTGGATTCATACTTTAAGAAAGGTCAGCCTAGCTAATCCATAGATAATATTTCCCTAAAAGGAATATTTATAAAAATCTACAAGCTTATTTTTATTTGAATAAATTAGATTTCCATGGATGAAACCTGATTTATAACATTGCATTCATTGGAATGAATATTTGTTTTGCTTTTGTTTACTTAATCCAGACACTTTCTAGGTTATAATCCTGAGGACCCTTGCAGTTGTCATTTTTATAAATCTGTTTTATAAAATTTCCGTTTGTATTAAAATGTATTCTACATTTTATCAAACTACCAAAGTACAATCAACAAAACATATACGTTAAAAACAACAAGATACATGAGAGACAGAAGGATTATAAATATCACACACACATACATATACACACACACACAGGTGTGTACCCGAGTGTGTGTGTACATATGTGTGGATGTATACCAAATGAAGATGGCATTTTAGGCAATACATATTAATAATAATTTTTTTAGTGATAAACATGTTCTGCATATGCTATATGAAATGTTAGTAGTCTTGAGTTTATGCAGAATTTTTTACCTATGTGCTTTATGAGAGATTAAAAAAAAAGCTACAGCAGGGATTAAAATAAATAAATGGGCAAAATATGCCCTAGAATTGAACAAAGAAATAGGGTAGTGGCACTATTTAATATAACACAGAATACATTTTCTGAAGGATAAATAACTGATGCAATATAAAAATAACAGATATGCTTTACTAGTAAACTATTAGTACTAAATTATACATGGTAAAGCTGTCAACAATTTAAGATACTGTGATGGAAACACAGCTGTTCACAGATTTTAACTTAATATCAGCCTATCACACATTAGATTGAAGTGGAAAAAATAGAGGTAAAGTATGTATTTTTTCCTAATACTTGGGTTCAATTCAGTTATTATAATTGAACAGATAGCTAAATTCTTAAAAGACCAATCACATACATTATATGATCATAAAGCTAAGAAAACTRAAATTCATCTCCAATTATTTCTTAAATAATAATTCATTCAAAAATGCAGTGATAGCGGCTGAGACTGTTGCTCAGCGGTAGAGCTCTCGCCTAGCATGTGCAAGGCCCTGGGTTCCATCCTCAGCACCACATAAAAATAAAATATTGTGTCCAATTACAACTAACTAACTAAATAAATAAATAAATAAATAAATAAATAAAATGCAGTGATACATGAACTTGCCTTTATAACTCAAAAATTTTAGTATCTCCTTCCAGTCTTAGAAAATAGGTATTTTTGTAACAGAAAGAAATCTCTGGCTAAACATTATGGTATAAATGTGAAACATTTATAAATTAATAACCCATTTCCAGGAAAGAGAAGAGATATGAAACATTTATTTTTAAAATGAGATTAAACTGGGAAATAAGAAACCTGGCATTGACATGAATAAATAGAATTTGGAAAATATATTAATGCCTTTTGGTAAACATTGATTYCAAAACTTGTGATTATATATTTAAGATGAAAACTTATTGTAAATTTAATACCCATGTTTCAAGGTACACTCTTAAACATATACATATTTAGTTAATTCTGAAAATAATAAAAGCTGACCTGCATTTAAAAGTGGGTCCAGGTTCATCAACACAAATTCCTCCATTCAGACAGAGGACCAAATTCAGATCAGGCTCAGGACAACTATCGATGATTTTTTCACAGTGTGTACCAGTGTATCCGTGTGGGCAAATACAAATAAATCCATGTACCAACTTCTGACAGAAGCCCCCATTCATACAAGGAATTGATGTGCAGTCCTACATTAGGAAACAGAAAAAAATGTGATTATTAATGGTAAGACTGCTTTATTAAAATTATGCTTATTTAAAACCATTTTAAGGAACCAATCTGCAAGCTGATGATATTTCTTTCTTTCAAGAAACAAAATATGTTTATAGTGATAAAGGATTTTTACTTTTGATTACTAGAAATTTTCTGTCAAATGTTCCATTGTTGACTTTTCAAAAAAAGAAACTATCAGGCCTTATTAAAATATGTACCCTACTAGACAACTCTTCCTCCTCCTAATGAAAATGATATAGCAAATTTCCTCTATAGRTAATACCAGGGATCACTGCCCTTAGTATTCATGGTATGTCCCAGTTTTCCACAATCAGCCCCAATTTAACTCTACTTTCCAAGGACATGATTTAATAGGATATCCATTAACTCTCAAAAGAATTATGTAGGTTTGATCACATTATGAAATCAGATATCTCACAATTGTCTTATGTCCCTCTAATAAATCTAAAACATTTATAATAGTAATTATAATATTTTGTKTGTGTGTGGTCCTGGGGATTGAAACAAGGGCCTTGTACATGTGCGGCAAGCACTCTACCAATTGAGCCATGTCCCCAGCCCCAATTGTAATCRTTCGTTTTCCAACACATTAATCCAAACTTACGTCAAGTATTTCTAATACCTATGATCTTAGAAGCACAGAARTTCTGTGATAACAGAGATATCTGGGTAATAGTTTTTTGTTACATTTAGGTTTCAAAGTATTTTTAAAGTTGTCTTATTTATTCAACAATGACATCCTATTTATTATAAGTATATTATTTGTTAGATGGTGATAAAGTTACCAACCTCACACAGGTTGCTGAGAGAGTTAAATAAAGAATGCAAAGAAAGCAAACTGATACTGTGACCAGCACATAGTAGCTGTTCAGTAAATGTCTTCCTTCATTTCTTCCGTTTCATTTCTGGGGGCYAAACTTGTTAGTCCCTATTGCAGTCATTTTGCCTTTGCCTTGGATAGAAAATGTATTTCTCTGAATACTTATTTTCTATCATACCATACTATATGCTTTTTTTTAATTTTTTAGGTTATATATGTACTAACATTATAGAAAGCTTACATCATAAACATGATATGACAGCATTTTCTAATATAATGTCAACTTAAATGATTTGGATTTATATTTCTGAGAAACACTTTATGGTAAGTTATGACATCATTAATAAAACTGTTTAAAAAGAACCCTCAATGTGATGTTGACACAATTTCTCAAAGAACATGCACAAACTTGRGTCATTTGTACACTAGGGTCTTAAGTTATTACATCCTCAGGGATAATTATATGTATATATAAACATGAAATGCTTTCTTAGCTTTTTACCTTGAAAGGTTATAATTTTCTAAATCTGTCATCAATTGATACCTATGTTTGTAAATATTTAGTGATTTTTAATAGGTGTTGACAATAAASATTACATTCATATTATGTACCCAATGGAAAATTAAAGATTTGTGAAAATTACCTGAAAGTTTAATTAGTGTCATTTTCAATAAGAAATGGATTGTGCTCTTGAGTATAAAACTCAAATGATGCCTGRGACCCAGATGGTTACCTTTCTCACTCACCTGAATGATAGAACTTAATATATATTGTCATAGATGCCATTTTGATATTTGTTCTACCTTTGCTGAAAATGCAAGGGCACTTCGCAGACTTCCTGAAGGTCCTACAGTAATTTTTACAGAATGTAAATGCAGAATTCCATAGGGAGTGGCATAGAAACAGTGTTGTTTCCCTCTCTGTCCTGTGGCTGGATATATATAGAATGATTTATTAGAAAGCATTACATAAAGTAATTGAATTATATCTCCCAKGGGAAGACAAGGGTAGTTTTCAGACTGCCAAGAGTTCTGTCTTTAGGGTTTACAAGAATCTTTTACTAAATTAATTAGAAAGCTTAATGGGAAATACAAAAGAAATTTCTTTTTAGAGAAAATCAAATTGTCATTTGAAGTTCTTGATCTTTCCTGGTTCAAAAATCAAGGAAGATGCTTTTYCTTTTGTTCATCATCATTCATATTACTTCGTTACACTCTATTTAATATAATAAAGTGCTTCCTAAGAAGGAATTCACTAATGTAATTTCAGAAAATAAAAGAAATAAAAGCCTGGGGTTTTGAGAGAAAGAGGTGGAAAATGGGAGGAACATCACAAACCAGGGTGATCTGGACAATTAAGCTGCATTAACTTGTGCTCAAAAGTCATGCCAGGAAATGTACAGGAGTTTGAGAATACCAGAGTAATGACGTCAGTCCTTCATGGTGGAATGTTTAGTCAAAGGAAACTGCCAGCTGGCCTATGAAAGGGGATGATTTCTCACTRACTTCATAGCTATGGTCTTTCTGAGAGATGTAGTTTTAAGCAATTCTAAAGTTTGTCTTGTGACCTCTGCACTTCCCAGAAGAATAAAGTTATCTGAGATCATCTTTGTCATAATACTTTTCTCATTACTTCATAGGCTTTATGTTTTTGGCACTGGTATATGTAAGAAGTAGAAATCTGTCTTCAGAGAAGATCTTGGGGAGAGACAAAATGTTAAAGAGAGACACAGGGAACTGTTTTACCTGAAGCCTAGAAACAGTATATGGTATCTATCAGGCCCTTACCTTTCCCACAGCAGAGGCCTATTAAGTTWCACAGACTTGTGGAACTTTGTCTAGCACCTAATCAAAACTACTAATGTAGCTCAGTGTATGCTAAACTTAAATCACACAKGAATGCCCTGGGTAGCTTGTTAAATTGCAGATGAAAACTCAGTAAGTCAGGGGCCTGCATTTTTCCATTCCTAACAAACTCCCTGGTGATACTAATGCTATCAAAACATGGATCAGGTATTGAGTGGCAAGAATGGAGSGAAAACAGTTTTATTTTACTCAAAAGCATGAAAAAAAGCTGAAGGATTTTAGAGTGACTTTGCCAGAGTCTTACAGCAAGACTGTGACAGAAAAAAACACAGACACTAAATATTCTGAATTCCAACCTAGGGCTAAGCACTGCAAATTGTATCTTCCTTATGAAAAAAAAAATGTTTTGTCTACAAATTTGTACATGTGATAATGTATATAGTAAAGGTTAACATACTTGAAGCTTGTTTCCAATGTAATTTTCTTTAGCCATTTCAATTTTTTCTCAAAATGTACAAGTTCATGGAACTGAATTAGCTAAAAAGTAGATTTTTTTTTAATTTCCAATTTAACCTGACTTTTGGTAATTTCATGAAAATAAAATGCATCTTCACTTTGTTATTTCAAAAAATAAAATAAGATTATGAAATATCAAAGTCGGGATTCTTACAAGAAATTTTAACTTTTGTTGATAGTGTGTATGGTAAAACTTCTGGGAAAGAAGGTCACTAAAATACAAGAAAACAGAATAATTTTCCCAGAGACAGCCTGGAATGCACAAACAAATCAAAAATAGGAAAGGTGAGTTCATCACAGCTGAATCTAGAATGTCAATTTTACAAATTACACCAGGATTTGTTCTTAAAGAAAACATAGAGATTCAAATACATTT